AAAGTAGAATGGAAATATACCTTCCCATAACTGATTCTCCCCTTTCTCAGCCTCCTTTAAAAACAAAAAAATATTGGTAATTGAACCCAGGACCTTTTCACTGAGCTACATCCCTACCTTTTCAAAAATGTTTTTAATTTTTAGTATTTCTTTATTTGTTTTTGAAATAGAGTCTCACTGTGTAGCCCAGGCGGGTCTCAAATTTTCAGTGATCCTCCTGCCTCAGCCTCCTGAGTGCTGGAATTACAGGTGTATGCTACCACATCAGGCTTGTAAATACTGATATTGTCAACTTTTCAGACCTTCAAAGTTAAGAACAACATTCAAGTAACAGGGACCACATACACACCCTACAGAAACTGTTTAAGGAGCCACCTACCCATCCTTTCTCTTTGAACTCTGACCTCTTCTTACTGGTATCACAGTGTTCTGCACTTCAGGAAATGGAAAAGAGATTATGTTGAGACCTTACTATGTGATAGTCCCTAAACTAGTGGCTACTTATGAAATGGACACAGTTATGTGTTCCACAGATAAAGACACTGAGTGGGCTCTGAGAGAGTGAAGCACTTGCCAAGTATAACTCAACTGCTGGTTAGGCGTGGTCTGCCTGATCTTGGAATATGCTCCCCACTACTTCATTCATATTCTTTCACTAACTACATGTTGGGCTTCATGCAGCCACTGACTTATCCAGCCTTGCTTCCTTCCTCTTGGAGAGGTGTTGTGTTGTGTTTTGTTTTGTTTTGTCTTGTTTTGTTTTGTTTTGCTTTGCTTTGTTTGAGACAAGGTCTCACTCTGTAGATCAGGCTGGCCTTAAACTTGCAGTAATCCTCCTGCATCTACGTCTGGAGTGTTGGGATTACAGGCAAGCGCCATCGTGCCTAGTGAGATTTTTAGCACTTTGGATTCCATACAACCACTCACTTCGGCAGCACAAGAGCTTCGTACCTATGTCAAGACAGGCCAATATTCTGTAAATTATGATGGCTCAACTACTATGTATTGCTTCTCAGAGATCCCTGTCCCAGCATTCTTCCCAGAGCAGCTCTGTAGATGAAGCCAATCATCTGTAAACATACACGCCATCACCAACAGGCTGAGTGGACTTTCCTTTAACACCTCTGGGATTGTTTACCAAAGACAACTGAGCTCTCTCCCTGGCAATTAAGTTAAAGATTTATTTTACAGCCTAGCTCCATCCCACCACTGCAAACACTGGACTCTCCAGGACACCACCCTCCCCCCACCCCACCGCTCTCCACCACTCCACACTATTCTAGAACTGAGCAGCTCCCTGTGTGCACGTACATTTGCTGCTGGCTAATGTGCTCTGATGTCTTTACCTAGCAAATTTTCCTCCTTCCAGTTTCAGCCCAGGTATCACTTCCCACAGCCCCACTATAACTATAGTTATATATACAAGCCTCCTCTGTATTTGAGTCACTAGTTCTGATTCAGCTATTCAACTGATTTGCTCTTTTTACTTGGCTCATAAGAGGTAAATTTTTTTGTATAAATAAAACACTACTTTTTAGAGAATTAGTAGTTTCTTTTCCAAGATGTTCATCTTTGTTTGCTTTTGGCTTTTTGAGACAGGGTCTCGCTGTGCAGTTCAAGCCGGCTTTGAGCTCACTTTGTAGCCCAGATTGGCCTTGAACTCCAAATGATCCTCCTGCCTCAGCCTCAAGAGTGCTGAGATTGCTCAGGCCTGGCATACAGGCCTGGGTGAAACCCTGCAGCTGAAATCCCTGCAGAGAATGCAGGGGACAGAACCACCCAGCTAGTCCAGGAGCAGAACATCTTGCCAGAGGGGCACAACAGGTTCACCCCCAAGAGCAGCAGCAGGAAAGAGCTGAACACAGCAGCCAGACCTAAGCCAGGCACAGCTGGATAAATCCAAACTTTGTAGATCTGCACCTGACATTCAGTAGGTGCTAAATTTATAACTGCACCAAAGATCTACAACAAAGGTCAGAAGATAGTGCTACACAAAATGACGAGAAGGAACAAAATGCAATCTCAGAACCCAAGCCCAACCATAACAAGTGCAGAGGACAATAACACAGAACAACTTGGGAATCACACAGCTGAAAGTAATGAATCGACAGCTTTTGAAATAAAGAAACAGCTGCAGAAAGGTGTAGAGGAACTCAGATGGGAAATAAAAAAAAGAAATCCCAAAATTAACAACATCTGCAGTACAGGATCGAATGCAGAAACATATGGAGGAAACCCAATGCCCACCCAGAACAAGTGCAGAGGACACTAGCTAGGCTCAAATGTATGAATTAATAGAATATCTCAGAGTGGAATTCTTTTCTACTAGCTCAGCTCACATGTACGAATTAATAGCGTCGATAGTGAATAAGCAACAGCAGAAAGTTATAGAGGAAATCA